ACACAACCTCACCTTCTAGTTGTCTGCTTGTTACCTGCTGACAGCTTTAGTGCCTCTATACTGTACTGTACTGTACTTTACTTGGTTTATACTGTACAGTATACAGCTCCTCCCCGACTTATGACGGGGTTAGGGACCCAAATCCAGGTCATAAGTCGAAAATGCTTAAATAATACATAGAAAATCTAAAATGGGTGTCTCTTTTTCTTCTCAGCACCACAAAACTCTCACTTTTAAGCGTGCCAGCCATTTTAAAGTGAATTGCAAACGAAAATTTTGTCAGTACACAGCGCAATCACTGACGTTGGGACTCGAAAATACGTAATTTGACAAAATTTTTGTACGACTGAGGCAGTCGTATGTCCAGGAGGTCGTAAGTCAAGTAGGTCATAAGAATGCCAAGATTTTGGCATAAATTTTGACAATTGCACACCAAGTGATGAATTTATAGACATTGGCCTGTAGGTCCCACTGCACTCCTAGCTGCACCTCAGAAAACATACATTTAGGAAGCAAATTCATCTCCATCTCCTAGTGATTCAGAACCATCCACTTCATCAAGGCTGGACTAAACAAGAAAACTATTTATTTTTTAAATTCCCATTAGCCTTGCTTTTCAAGGTCTGTGTGTATAAATTATATATATTAAATATTACAACTTAAGGTTAGGGTATGCAAGAGCCAAAAGAAAAACAGAAGCTTAATATTTAGACAGCCATTAAACTTACAAATTTTACAAAAACTGACATCAGGATAAATGATATGTACAAACAGTACTGGTATGCATTTGCAGTATTATAAAAGTCATCAATTATTTTTTGCAATAAGTCGACAAGAGAGTAACTGCAACAACAATATAAAAATAGTAGTCAAGGTTGAATTACTTAATCACATTCTAAAAGCTTCTTATTTCACCCACAATATCAAAGCACTTTCCTAAAGCCTAAACATGAGATAAGCATAACCCCATGCATTAACATTCAAACAAGGCTATTAGCCAGAGTGCAATAAAGACACAGGTTAGTGTTCACGAGAGTGCACTCTTTTGTCACACAAAGAAAGGGCAACCACAGAAATTTCAGTGCATCTTGTTTGTATGATAGGGCACTATCAATGTGCTCCTCTAGCTAACAATACCTCCTGTCTTTTAAGAAGTTTTTCACAAGTTGTTAGTATAATTACACAATATACTGACTGATCTCATGGAATAGTGTTATCTTTAATTATTGTAGTGTACATCATACTGTACCTAACTGTAAATTGAGCTTACTTCTGGTACAATGACAGAGGGCACCTCAAGAAAGGCAAAAAATCAAGTTTCCCACAGCAAACACATGAAAAAGCATAAGCTCAGTATTATAGCCACTTGCTATGATGAGAATGTCTTACAGCTGGTTCTTCTATGCCATCCTCATCCGTTTCGTCACCTTGAGAACCCCCCATTCGGAGGCTGGGACGATCTTGGTGAAGGGGGGAAGTGGGAGCAAGATGAGGGGGAGGAGGAGCATGGGAAGGACCTGGAGGAAAATCATCAGTATTCTCCAATGAGCCATCCATAGTTCCTCCCTCCCTTGACTCTCTTCGCATTCCACTACTACCACTGTCACCACCACCACTAGTTGAAGGAGGCTCCGAATGACCCTCATGAAAGGTTGAACGAATGGCCTCACCCACCTGTGATCATAATGTGCCAACGTGTCAAGGGTGACTTGAGGGTATTGATAAACAAACAGGTTGCCCTAAACTTACCTTTAGAAGTCAGTCATATTTTCTTTCTCTTTAAAAATTTGAGTACTGTACAAGGTAACATTGAATATTAAAAAGTCCTTTTGTTAATAAAATACAAGGTAACATAATTTAAATTAATTCTAATGCATGGCACCAGCAAAGTTCAAACATCTCAAGTTGTGTTATTTTAAAATTTTCTAATTTCAAAAGGTTAAGAAAAAATGTGGAATTTGGAAAGAATAAAGGCGAAAAAATTTAAGTGAGACTAAAACACTGTGACATGTAATGATATGTCTGTACTCATTAACATAATTTTTATTTCCATAAGTTGTAAAACCAAATTACCCAATATGGTCCTCTTTAGCCTTTAAAAATACTGTACGTACAGTACAGTACTGCAATGAGCAAAACAGACATGACTAACAAACCAGAGTTATGACAATATGCAATGTACAGTACCTGTATGAGCTTAAATTACTTTTAGACACTGTACATTACAGTAGTTGTATGAATTGTGGTGTTCATAATAATTTGGCCCATATTCAATAACATTTCTTTGATTTATATTTTAATACATATATATCTCAATCCTATCTTCAGAAAATGAATAACGAAAAGTCTCTTTGAAATGCCACAATCTACAGTTAATTTTGCAGGTTCATCCGCCAAGACAACCATCTAACTTATTAACTCTTCCATGTCTGTTCTCTTCACACTGCATCACCATGTAAGTCTTCTCCCAGTTGCCTGCTTCTGCTACTGTACACTCTTGTGAATCATCTCTACATTTTTAATCTATTTATACTGTATCTCCTTCCTACCTCAGTATGTCATATTTCATTTTATCATGCACTTCCTTCATAACAATACTAGATGTCTGTAAAGTATTCATGTTGCATTTCTCTCTTCTATTCTATCCACTCTAACCAGACCACATTTTGTTATCAGACATTCTATTTTGTTTACTTGTATTGCACAGTTCAGTATTTAACTTGCCATTCAATAAGTGACCTTTCTTTACTTCCCATGCAACAATGTAAGATGTAAATTCTCCCTAAATCTTGTCATACATGAAAAAACTTTTACAATTGGAGTTACACATCTTCATCTTCTATTCAAATTCCTGTTTCCTCCAGTGTTTTCATCTATCTAACTACTCCTAACTATGCCGTACACGTTATCTGCAATACTCGGGACTATACTGTATGTTGTCCCCAATCCCTCAGTAATGTGTTTGCTAATGTAATAATAATAATAATAATGTGCGCCCCCTTCCTGCTCACAGATGAAGTGTGTGCATTATACATCAAAAGAGATCAGAAAAGTCATGATGGAAAACAGATGTATGTAACTTTAAGTGAAACATTACACTTCAACACCAGATATAAACAATGCAAAGATATGACAGGTATCAAGCTTATGCAACTGATTGAGGTAGACACGTACAGATTTCTAGTCTTATAAATACATAGAGTACTGCACATAAATTTCACTGAATATCTTTAGCCTTAGAATTTCTTTTTTTTTTAGCCATTTCAAAGAACAAAAAAAAAATAAGTTTGTGTTACTTCCTCAACTACATACCACACTGTTTCCTTCAATGTGATGATGTGATTGATACTGTAACCTTATTAATCTGTCTATGAATACTGTACTCTGTAATCCTGTCACTTCTCAAACTGTGACCTTGATACAGTATTCTTAATCACCCTTCCATTTTACAGTATTGTAGTTCCTATTACCAGCAAGCCAATTCCTGAATAATCATTGAGATGTTTTTCATATCCTATCTTATTATAAGCTGCCTTATAAAGTGGTAAAATATCATATTGAGAAAAAAGATAAAAGACACGAGTTTCAATACAGCACTCAGGTGTCTGTGTGATCTAATGGGGGAGGGGGAGGGTATACCCAATATTGGACTCATAGCAGCAGGCTGCAGGGGGTGCTGATGGGTTACATATTTTTTATTTCATCACACTCTCTTTCATCAGTCAAATCACTATTACCCCAAGACTAATTACTACTGCACAACCTGTGTGATAAGCAAGGGTGGCAATACATTACGGTACCCTCAACATTTTCTGCACTAAGTACGGTATAAAATTATGGTACAGTATTTTTTCCCCAGTATGGCATAGTACAAGAGTATGGAATTTTTTCCATTTCATCGTATATATAAGATAAAAAAAGAAGGCAAGGCCATCAGCATGCACAGGCGGTGATAGAGCCACAGCTTGCATCACCTGCCATAAGAAAAAAATATAATACAGCACTGTACTGTAAGAGTAAGAGAAGCCTGGGTGGCTTTCACTGTTATCTTCCTTTTACTGTGTTATTTTCACCCACATTGTATATTTTCAGGCATGGTACAGTGGAGTCATGATAATTCACGGGTACCTGTCACTGCCTCTTTCTGAAATTTTGTGGTCAAATATTCATAATTCATGGCTGAGTGCCGGCTGTCGCAGCATTTAATATAAATATCACTTCAATGCTCTAATGTGACTTAAAAATGCAGAAGAATATAATATAAAACTATAAAATAAGAAAAATGAAGAGTGGAGAGTGAATTGTGTGTGGGAGGTGGGAGGTAGAGCAGTTGGTTGGTGAACTGAGATTCCTGTTCCCTCTCCCCCTTGCATTCCTAAGCACTCGGTGCCCCTCTGACCTCCTTATTACAACATTATGCAATTTTACCCCAATTTCTATTTAAATAAATTAAACTATAATTTATGATGTCTTCTGGCACCTAATCCGCAAATTATTGCAACTCCACTGTATAATATTTTCTTCCAGTAAGATTTACGGAGAAAATTCCGTACCATACCGTATTGCCACCCTTGGTGGTAAGTGAGCAAATGCTTGACCTAGAACTTTGACAACAAGAGCTGGTATTGAGCTCAAGGTGGCAGATCTTTTTCCAAAACATGGTAATATCTCTGGAGGTCAAGGCACATGTAGTACAGTACTGTATTCAAATTCAATGACATATTATGGCAAGAAAAAGGGATCGTTACTGTAAGTATTGTACTTATTCCACCTTTTTGAGAAACAAGATAGATAATTTTATGTACTGTGCTGTACTTAGAGTACTTGTGAAAGGGTTAATTAATGTGCTGTGCTGTACAATATAATAGGCAGATATAAGTGGAGTACTTCTGTCTGTTATCCCTTACATTAATTACTATAGCTACTGCCATACAGAAAACAGATGATAACAGTTTCGCGCATGCAACATCTGTCTCAATCAGTGAAACTTAAACTACGTATAAAGACAAATGATATAAAACAGAGATACAAGGTGTGTCTATTTAACAAAAACATACTGACCATAATGCTTATGCATTGAAAAAATATTAAAATATTGTTTTTTATCTACCCATCTGTCTATTACTGAGATTCACAGCCTTAAAATGTGCCCAACGTTATATGTTATACAGAAAATATTTTCAGAGCAAATTGTAAAAAAAATTAAATTTATACACTGTACCACTGTACAATAAATCCCTGCTATATTGTAATAGTGTATCCTCATAACTGCCATGGTGTAGCTGAGTTACTCATGGGTTTAAATTCTGTAAAATCATCCTAGAAATTGCTCAAATTCACTGAAATCGAAGGACACTGCAATTCACTATATGTGATGATTTTCCTGGTACACTGATAACTCTGGTTTCCTCCACATGCCGGCACATTAGAGAGAGGAGAAGTAGCAGCAGAAGGAAGCAGGAGGGATGAGTGGGGCTAAGAGATGGGGTGGGAATGGCAATTGTAAGAAACAAAAAACAGGTAGGGAGTATATTGGTGAATGGTACAATGTTTACCTTGGAGATTTATAAGTTTTCACTGAACAGATTTCTCTAGCAACTTTATCTATATCCCATTGGCATACTAGAAGCATGTACTGTAAGGTGATGTTTTATGTTGGTTAAAAAGAAGTAACTAAGCTACAGTATTAGGTATTCATTATGTTAATCAATGGTAGGGTGGTGACTCAAGGCATTAGCTACTCCAAAAGCCAGTTCATGCCCAGTTCAGCACTTGCTAACAGCATGTAACAGAGACATGTCTGACTGTCCAAGTGGCTAACAGACAGATCAGTGGTGAAGAGGATAAAATAAAGTAAAAGGTTCAGATGTGCTCCATGTTTGTGGTACTGCTGTTTAGTTCTTGGGTGTATTCATAATGCTGCTCTTCAGTTTTTTCAATGAAAAGGTATCTCTCACCTGTAGTGAATCTCAGTGCCTTGTTTTGTATACTCTGTAAGTTGAGTACAGTACAAGTAATTTTAAGGCCAGGAGGGTTGAAACTGAGAGAACTAAGTAAAGAAAGGTTTATCCTCTTGAAATGCATTTTTTGTCTTTTGATATAAAATAAGTTTCAATTTAAAACTGTACAATACTGTACTAAGATTCATATTACTGTATAAAAGGCAGAATACCTTTACTTCAGCTGGCAAGTATCACGTTCTTGTTGATTGGGAAAACAATAATACAATATTGTTGAACAAGAAAATATTAAGACAAGATAAATTATGATAATGAGTACGTATGTAACTTCACTTCTGTGCTTGGAGGAATATAAGAACAAAATCAACAACTATTTCTAAGATGTATACACTTACACTAAAAGGTAATTCATCTAAGGTATTCAAAATAATAATTTCAGTTTTCATTTGTTTCACATTAAGTTCAATACATTACAGGATAATATCATAATTCAATATAAAAGAAGAAGCTAAAGCTAAAATATCCAAAAAAGAGTTAATTGGTTGTACTTGCCTAAGCAACCTGTCACAGACTAAGATAATTCAACCACCTCACTAGGGTTTAGATATACTGTACAGGTAAATTTCCTTATTAGTTTGCTGCAAAACAGCAAGCTGTGATACTCAAGGACACAATACAAGTATAGCAGGAGTTTACTGTACATTAGATAAGGATTAAATAATGCTGGAATTTTAAAACATACAAGAAAGCTTCAGGCCAAGAAATGTGCTACAGCAAACTCAATAATAGAAAAGTCCTTAAAATAAAAAATAGCTCACCGGTGATGCCAGTTCAGATTCCAGTTCTGGATCAAATTCGTTTTCCTCTACAGTACTCATAATGACTTGTTGAGTGAGAGCAGCAACACTTGATGATGATAATTCCTTTTCAGGCGATTCTTGTAAAGACACTAGTTGACATTTATCTGAGTTGTCTCCCTACAGGCACAACAAAAACTGCATTAAAACAAGTCAGTAGCAACAAATACAGTAATCTTCCCATCAGCTGGAATAATTGGTGAGGAGCATTTCCGGGTATTGAGACAAATTCTCTTATTCCTGGAAAAAATTGCCCATCTATGGAATTTTTCTGGGCATTGTTGACACTTCATTGGTTTTTATGAGCTCTTTCTTTATTTAAAATGACTTCAGTATTGATAACGATCATTCTTCTGAATTGCGAGTAAACATCATAGTATCAAACAGTGGCCATTAAGTAAATAAGGTACTGATATATAAATTTGAATTTTCTTTGGTGCCCGTTCAGAAGGTCGCATCCACCTTTGTAAGTCTAGATCTACCACTGGAAATACTTAGCCTAAATCCTCCAAGAAATAAGCATCTGACAGCTTTGTTGGCTGTCTTTAGTCAAATTGCCTTATTGTTTTTCATTGTTGTATACCTGCACCATCCAAGGGCATAGGAAACTGTACATTATACATACTCCCAAGGCCTGTGTACACCATATAGTGCACCTGTATTCTCTATTTTCATGCTGAACTGTATACCTGCATAGTTTATATACATGCCTATCCACTAAATTGATATTAATATTTTTATTATTGTTAAAACTTTGAGTAATGTAGCCACTGTAAAAGCCTAATCTTAAAACCTTCAGTCTTAAATTTTCATCGGTACATCAGTAGTTGTGTGGTTTTGAAGCTGTATTGTACAGGTACCCATTTTTTTATACTGTTGGTCACCAATAAACTAGGGAGTACTGTATAAATAAGATGTGAAAAATAGTGTCACTGCATATTCTGTTACCCAACTTGTAAAAACAGTACAGTACAGTACAGTACTAGAATAGCAGCCTGCTCAAAACAACTACAATAAAGTACCTTGGTTAACTGTCTGATTTTTTTCCCATATTAAATGGTGTATAATGAGTGCAAAGCAGGTAGGTACTGTACCACCATTGTTCTTACTGAAGAACGGAAGGAAGTATATACCCATAAGTAGGTAAATACAGTACGTACAGATATTATTTTTATTCAACGTAATCAACGTATCGCTTTCAAAATTATTCCTAGATATATAAATTTGGGTGTAAATAACCCACAAACTTCATAAAATTTGTTTTTATTGAATAATTTGGGATCATCACATAATATGAGGCGCCCCGCATTGTTTGGGTTATTCGTGCCAAAATTTGAAACCGAAAAAAAGGCGTTTAAAGTTTTTCCAACTTCGAACATGCATAACTTTGTTGTTTCTTGAGATACAGCATTCATTTTTGATGAATTTTGAAGCTAAAGGACTGTACTTGCAGATGGTAGGTAGCATGTCATGAAGTAATGTATTGGGTTGTTGCAATGTTGACTTGAAGCAACAAAACTCCCACCTCTTATGGCTTTTTTTACTTTAATCGATATCAGAGTGTAGATCCCGCCTGCTGGAGGGGCCGTGACGTAGATAGCAGACACTCACTGTCACTGACCGAGACAGGGGAGGAGGCTGTAGGCTGGTCGCTGTGATTGGCTGCCCGCTCCTTTCACTCACTCACTGACGGGATGAGAGCATCTAAGATGCGAAAGCCAAGCCCATAATTTCCTGTCTGCCACAAATTGATGTTCTACCCTATTTTCAAAGGACTTTCAACCTTATTTACAGTATAGTAAGGAGATCTTATCAACTACCATCGTATAGAGCTTGACCGAAAATAGTGCTTTCCAACAAAAAAATGCGTTTCGCCCGGATGGTCTGAATGCACCTTACAATGCGGGACGCCTCATATCAGTAAGGCACAATGGGCTTAACTGAGTTTATACATTGAGTTAGCCATCCTCCTTGGTTTTGTTTAACCAATATTAATTTCAAATGCTGTGAAAACAATAATATTTTACTAATACAATACAGTACAGTATAAATAAAAGTAATGAAGACATTGGGCTATTTATTTAATCATGCAATAATCACTTTTCGACTAGTATGCACCTGTACTTCTGGCTAGTGCCTCAGTCACCAGAAGCTGCTGGGATGTAAACAAACTCATTTCACTCACTTTTAGGAAGTTTCAACTAATAAATGGACTATATTTAGAGTATGAATGTAATAGTAATTAGTTTATTTTACTATTTAAGAAATAGATAAACATCCAACTACATTTGTGTGAATGTGTGGAAGCAAAGCTTGACTTAAGGGAAGAAAATTTAACTTGACCATGGAAAAATACCCAGGTTTCCAGAATCTTGATTTTCTGAGATTTCATTTCGAGTGTCTATACCTCTACAGTACAGCAGGGACAGTATAATTACATGGCATAATGCCAAGTTGGGACATGCTAATATGTTAACCAATGCCAGAAAAACTGAAAGATGAGCTTTTACATTCTATGTCAATCCAAAGCAGCAGATACTGTACAGTACTTAAACTCACAAGAAGACTGGAAGGTTGAGTGGGTACAATACTCTGTCTCTGTACAGGTTCAGTGTATGAAACCTGGAGCAGTGAACGACTGGCCTCTGAGACGTCAGTTACCTCATCATATTCCCAGCTTCCTAAAGATTCTGCCTGAAAAGAAAAATATCACTACACCATAGTATATAAGAAACATATGCATCGAAATACAGTACATACAGTACTGTATACCTTAAAGTTTATAATTTTTTGCATACGCTAATGTTACAATTGTCAAAACAGTAATTATTCGTTTTAGCCCATTACCCTCTTTTGAGAAACTGTGTTTCTGGTGTACAGTATTTTGGTGTGTTTTAGTCATATACTGTATGACCTTCATTTCTTGTGCAGATGAGCCATTTTTTCCTAGAAAATCGACCTAACCTTAACAGAAAGTACTGTACTCATTTTGATATTTGGTACCAATGAGAACAACTTTGTTGAAACATCATGGTGTAATTCTACAATTTTTGTGGACGCGAGAGTAAACTCGGACCGAGAGGGTCAGTTGTAAACAAACAGTGCAGACGACAGAACCTGCCGACAATGGCAGATACTATATAACCTAACCTCTTTGAAGCCTCTTTGAAGGTAAATATCTTAAATATTAAGCATTTGCACAAGAAACGTTACTATTAAAAACAAACTTGTACTGTAATTAAAAAAAGGAGCAGACGACAACACGTGCCGACAATGGCAGATACTTAATGTTAAGGGGAAATATATTAAAACTAAGCATTTCCACAAGAAACGTTATGCTTAAAAAATAAATTCATAATTAAAAAATAATATATCTAGGTTAGTCATAAACACTAGAAGAGGAATGGGTGAGAGACAAATGTTAACCACCAAAACACACACAATATACTACTGCATATAAAAAATACTAGCTTTACACAGTGCAGCTTCTTTAGGTGTTATAAGAATACCCTGTAATAATAATAGCAATGAAGTTTACTGAAAATGAAGCATCCAATAGGTGAAAATAGAATATACAAATAAAATAAATAAATGTTTAAACATAGAGGTCAGCTCCACGGAGTCTGATGTAGAAGGAGATTGGACATAAAGGTTACATAAGATAAGGTTATAAGAGTCTGGTGCAAATTAGTACTGAACTGTATGAAAAAGAGTGTGGAGAAAATACAGTAATGTCTGAGAATAGCACTACCCATACCACCAGAAGGAGTTGTTCCATTTCATTCATTTTTTCCCCATAGTGTGTATGTTCTTATCACTATACAGTAGTAAGGATTTTAAAAAAGGTGACATTTACTAGAACCTGACCTAACCAACAAAATAAACCTACCTAACCTTACCTAACTTCCAAGCCGAGCCCCCCAGACCCCCTCCGTCATACTAAACAGACAGTACTTATTTTGATATCTGGTACCAATGAAATTTTTTTTGCTGAAGTGTCATGGTATAATTTTATCTTTTTAGTGGACATGATAATATGCTCAGACTGAGTGGGTCGGTTGCAAACAAACAGACGACACATGGTGACTCGGCAGATTTTTTGAAGGAGTATTTACAGTAAATAATTACCAGTAATTTGTTCACAAACAAAGCACAGAGACATTATTTTAGTGTCATATGATCAGTTTGTCACCATGTTTTACCCCACAATTTCCCTCATTAATCATGCCCTGCCCACTAGAGTAATAGAGAGAGAAAAAAAATGTACAGCATGCCCTTACAATCTGCAGATTTTTAATTCGCGGCGTTCGATTATTTATGGATGGCACTCTGAATGTACCCAAGAATGTCTGTGGGTTGTTTTAAAGTTGGCAGTATGTTCATGGCCGGGACGAGGAGCTCGCAAGTCTTGTGGCATCCTACAAGGTATCTCTCTTGTCCCAGGTGGCTGGGCCATAAGCACTCACTCCGGGGTAAACACTTGTCAGTTTCACGAGTGTGCTACTCTGCTCTCTTAACAACTGTGCTCATTGTGTTTGTGATGGCTTCCAAACGCCCTCAACCACCTTCATCCAGTTGCAGGAAGGTGCCCAAACAAGTGAAGAGAGAAAAGAAGGTCATATATTTCTTCCATACATACGTCTGGCAATGGGAGTGGGTAAGAGGAAAGAGTGACTGCTGTTAGCCCATCGTCTACAGTTGTAACTCTCCTCTCTCCCTGCCATATTTCACTGGATTTACTGTTATTATTAGTGTTTACTGATAGAATAGTGTTTAATAGTGATTAATCATGGCATTGTAGCTAGGCTACCTTGCCATTGTGACCACAGGCTACTGGGCCAAGCTGTGAGGTGTTATGGTTTTTTCAACTAATATTTTTGGGTAGATATACATAACTTTCTTCATTTATTTTTATTCAGTTACATGCACACACCATCCTACATACATATTGTGAAAAAAAAGTACATTATTATACTGCAAATACCGCCATCCTTCAGGCTGGGTTGGCTAGATGGCTATGAAATAATTTTTTTAAGTTCGATCTACGTATCAACCCAGCTGGCGCTCAGGTGCCATTCATTCAAGAGACAGTAATTCTTGTGAGAAAAAAATTGCCGTATGGCAACCCAACCAACCTAACTTTAATAACAAAGCATGGAGATGACGTGAGGGTAGACTCTTGCATTGTTTTCTACATTTCAATACATTTTGTTGTCTTCTTTCTGATTATTTGTGAGAGGATTTTCCAATTATTATTTATTTATTTATTTATTTATGTGTGTGTGTGTGTGTGTGCCTACACACATACACAGTACAAGTAAAAGAAATAATTGTCCAAAGGACAAGCACATAAAGGGAATATACGTAAATTTTTTTGCAAATGAGTAAAATGTACCCTCCATCCCAGTCAGCAAATGATAATCGTGGATTTGGCAATTCGTGGTAATTTTGAGACCCAAACCCCTGCAAATTTTAAGGGCATGCGGTACCTGGTAATTAAAATAAAAAGTTGTCGCCTCTTTTAGAATACGTACTTAATATACTGTAATGATAAGAACATCTGTGGAAAAAAAATAACAACTCCTGGTGGTAGTGCTGTTGTCAGAAATTACCAAAAATACAGTAAACAAGAAGTACATAGTATACAAGTACAGGTAATTGTTAATGATATTTTACAATTGTTGGTACAGTATGGGGATGTCCCAGTAGAGGTACTGTATGTGCAAGGAAGTGTGTGTGTGTGTGTGCAAGCAGTGAGAATGGACTGTAATGGCATAAATAAAGTTATTACCTATACTGGGCTGAGTCCTGATGCCCTCCTTAAACTAGCGATGCATCAACAGTACGTACCTGAAATGCCATTTTTTAATATCCTACTCAATGGCACACTACAGAATAATATTAATGCACTAAAAAAAAATTATGACAAAAGTTGTAAACTACCATTGCTATATCTTCATATTCATGCAAAAAATTCCATTAAAGCAGTAAACATTAATGCAGCTGTTATTTAGTCTCTTGTTCTGAAACTGATAACAGCCAAATAAAGATACTGTACAGACTGCATAAGACTGTCAACTCTTCATGAACGCAATAAAAATTCACATAATATACAATATAATAGGCAATGACAGCTTGAATTTTAATCCTGATTATATTGCTGACACATACAGATGTGTTGTATAATAATAACAGTAATAATAATAAGGATGAAAGAAGGGTAAAATTGCAGATTACAGCAACAAAAGAATAATACAAAAATAAATTGTTTTTCTGATGGTTTCTCATGCGATTGGTTCAAATCTGACATTCGTTTTTATCGTTAATCACTCGTTTTGGATTTAGCACCCCCCCCTAACAATAACGGGGAAAAGCATGGGAATTCGGGGTTCTGGGTGGGGAAGAACCAAAACGAGTTATTTGTGGTAGAAGCGAATTCCAAAATTGTCCGAATTGCAACAAGAAAACATCAGAAGAACACATTGTGCAACAGAAATTCTGTTATTTACAAAAAAAAGTCAAAATAATAGTTCTATCGATTGCGTGTTCTGAATTCCCGGTACTCTGTGCTTGCTAACTTATACAATATAACCAAACTAAACCTTACCTAACCCCCTAGCCGGGACCCCCCCCTCCCGGTGGCCAGTGGGCTTCGCCCCTGGACCACCAGACACAATGTAACAACCAAGAGTTGCGTGGTCAGCCTCTACGAGAATATAAATAACCATTACAGTATTTGCGCGACTCAAGTATGAACACACAATTTGAGACACAGCGTTGGGGCAACAGGTACTCATATTTTATTCTTTTTAAAATTCAATAACTTCCTTATTATCAATTTGCGACGGAAGTGTAACATAAGAAAATGATCATAAAAAAAAAATAGTTCTATCGACTGAGTGTAGTGAATTTCCCCAATTCTATGGTTGCTGTTTACTGCAATATTGCCGAATGAAGTGGGTACGAGTTGACTTAAACTGGATATGAGTTGTCAAAAATCTTTGTAAACTTGCCCATGAAGTTCTTCAGCAAGTCTACCAGAATTTCTTTTACAGTACAACTTAATTTCCAACTACAACTACAGTATTTGAAATTGATTTATATATAATGAATATTAAGTAAAGTTTAACCTATAAGTGGATTAAACTGTGATACCTTATCTTTGTCGTTGCTGATTCACAGCAAAGAAAACTTACTGTTAACTCCCTGCTACTCATAAAGTAAAGTTTGAGGAGTCGAGGCAGGAATGTTGACGATGGTTCACATCCTCCACCAGGCAACACCACACTCTTCCCTCGGTCTTTAACAATTATCAATTAAGTTGCCGTGTTGGGGCACACATTTTAATTTTTATTTTTATCTTTAAATATTTTTAAGTTCTGCAAGGTGGATTCAACAGCATAAACGATGGAAGGAAATATCTAATTAGTTTCGTCATACCATATTTAAAGGTCAGGTACGAGAGGTGGTGCAAGATGTGAACGACAACAGAATTAGATGTAAATAAACAAAGTGTTACCATGGCAACAATGCTCACACCTTGTACAATACAATAGTAAAAATCAGTGTAAAATAACTAATAATTTTATGCTGAAAATTATAAGAATTAAATATAATGGCATAACTCATACGTTGCTCATAAAATCTAAGAGTATTTTATACTATTTTGAGTAACGTGAGGTAATACGATTCCGTATCCGAAAGCTTGCCTAATAACTAGTACTACAGTTATTATATAATAATTTGAAGAAGCATGAACCTCTATTACAAAATTTGTTTTATAAAACTTATATATACCATAAATGAATTAGAAATGGGATAAAATAGGCCAACTACCCGCAGAGTATATGAAAATTAGACCAAAAGACGGAGTTGTAGTGGTGAAACAATTGACTTTGTATACACACAACACAGACGACCCTGGACCTGGAGGCTGGAGTAGCCACACATACCTTACCATATTACTCATCTTACCGCTTGTTCTTCTTCTGCTGAGCAACTGTTATATTAACATTCGTAAGTCTTGAGTAAGCCTCATACATATTATCCATTTATTACTCTGTAAAATAGTACAGTTAACCATATGTTATACATATTAGGTCCTGCCTGAAGGTCCAGTATGAATACTGAAATATATATTTATTTAATTATTCAGTGCAATCGTCATACTAGCTCTGGTTAAGTTTATAAGTAGACGATGCAGGCTTACAAACAACGGCAGACTGTAAGTAAATTCAACCAAGGATTAGATTACCATTGTTATTAATAATAGGTATAAATCTATCTAAACATGTAGTATAATTAGTGACTAGCTGCTGTCACACTTTAAGAAGGAGGACGTGAACCAACCAAACAACCCAACTGACCAATTAATCATAGAATACCTTCTAGGGTAAAGGTGGAGGAGACAGTTACCACCAGAAATAACATGGAATTGAACCAAAATTTCAGTGTACCTCCAACTCGGCCCAACTTAAATAACCAACTCGGCCCATACATTACTAACTCGGCCCACCTTGCACACTTCAAACAAGTAGCTGACTAGAGGTTCAGGAATGTTTGAGATTTGTTTTATGTTTCTTTTGGTTCACTGAAATAAGAAGAGTGTGGATGAGTGAATACCAAGGGTTCAATCGGTATGAAGGACGAATTTTATGAGTTTATTTTAGTAGAACTTGATCAATGAACCATGATTCACATTCGTAACTTGTGCTTCTGCAGGTGATTTCGAATAGAGTTTGAAATTAGTCTGAGTTCGTTAACCTGAGTGGTCCGAGTTGGTGATCCGAGATGGTCTGAGTTGGTATTTGAAGGACTGAGTTGGATGTGAGCCGAGTTGGCAATGGGCCGAGTTGGACTGTAATCAAAATTTCTGGAGATACTATTTCTGCATGATACTAAACACAAAAATAGAAATGAGAATATACAGAACCTTGTCTAACTAAAGAAACCTTTCTAACCTTACGTATCGGACCCCCTGGCATATTAAGCAGAAAGAACTTACTTTGATAATTATCTGGTACCAATGAAACCAACTACAAGTTCCAGAAATTGTGCATTACATCATCTCTCGAACCCAGAAAAATGTCCCCCATCCCTGGAATTTTCCGGGTACCAGAAAGTTTTTTGGAATTTCCCAGAAAATGTGCCCCTCGGAAAATTTCAATTCCAGGTATCGGAGAGTTCCGGTTAAGAGGGATTCCGGCTAACGGAGATATTACTGATTAACATTTAGACACTCACCTCGCCCTACAAAATTATAAAAAACAATGGAGGGATTCTACACAGGCCACTGGCCTCCCCTCAGCATGGCCACCTCTAGTGGGTGGCCATTAAGTAAATAAGGTAAACAATTGGTGCGGTCAGATGTCAGTCAGCCACTTGTAAATGTTTTATTAATCTTAAATTTCTGAAAGAGAACATGAACCAGATCTTACAGAATTTTGGTCATTACATCAAATACAAATTCTTTCAATTAATTTTTCATACCCTAAAGCACTACACATGTTAAACCAAATTCTCATTCCATTGGGTGGTTGTTCTGCAGGACCTTATTGTAGAGTGAGAAAGTTTTGACAAGTTTCCCTATAGGATGAAGTTCATATTTATTAAAGTGTAAACACTGATAAAAAAAGCAAAACAAAAGTTTTGGCAACCATCTCTGGGTGCAGGCATTTTCAATGTTAGTTTAGGACTTCACTTTTAATTTGAAACCTGATGAAAGTTGTGTGATGAGTTTATAATTACCTCATGTCCAGTTTGTTGTGCTTACATGTATGTTTTATATTCCAGGTGTAAAATAAACCTGTACTGTACTGTGGCCTTCGAGAAATAATTGTCTCCTATAAAAGTCTCAAGTCATCATCATAAGTTCAACACTGATAAGTTCTCTGAAAAAAAAAAAAAATCAAATGGCATCCTCAGCAGAAGTGGCACAACCAATAAGTGACCATGAGCCCATCTCCAGCAGCTCCCCATTTTCTCCAAAACCAGCCTGGGGGGGTGCTGGGATAGACAATAGTCCCCCAGTGGTATGCCCATGGGGGGCAGCTTCATCAGTCTTACCCCAAAAAGAATCGTCCGCTACCTCGTTCCGTGACCTCATGTCAGAAGACCTTGCCAAGGACATACAGGAAAAGTGAGTAGGTTTAATATGTATTGAAATATTACATATTTGCTTTGTTGCAGTAAATTTTACTTTTTTTATATTGATTGAAGGAAATTAAAGATACTTATACAGTACTGTACTGTACTTTTATTTGTAGATCATGCAATTCTGTTTTTGGTAATCAAGTTATAATATGCAGCTTGTGGCATTATCCTTACCTGGATAATTGGTTTGCAGTTAGTTTAGTTAAAGGTTCTCATAAACCAGACAAAAGTTTCCTTAAACTAGATTATTATGTGTTTAGTTACTTGTGCAATTTTATGGATTTTAATTATGTAGCCTTAAAAGGATAAACATAAAACATTAGAAAATGAGGAAAAAATGTGCTGAAAGATAGGTAAAGAAATGGATTACTGTTCCTGTACAGTAAACTCCCATGTACTGTATGGTATTTAATAAAAACAAAAATTAAGTTTTGTACAGTGAAAGGGAATGGAACTTAGAGTATGCCACTAGTTTATCCATTGATTCAAGGTTTTAAATTTTCATTGTAATACAGTACAATAAGTCCTCCCTTAACGTCGAGGTTATGTTCCTGAAAACACGACGTTATACGAAACGATGTTAACTGAATTAATTTTCCTCGTAAGAAATAGATAAAATACGGGAATTTCGTTCCTGAGCCTCCCTTTGCCCCATGAAATACATTACATATGCAGAAATTCAATGACATTTTTATAGAAAATAGTATACATTTATAAAACTCACTGATGGGGGGAGGTGGTGGAGCGAGTGTATGGTACGTAGTGGAGCGGAGGAGGATGGTGAGTCACTGAGGCTCGGCGAGTGCCTCCTCCTCCTGCTCTGACTGGCGTTTCTCCTCCATTTTCGTAGCAAGGCTAATGGTCTTACGTTGCTTCTTCACAACACTCGCATTAGTAGCACTTGATTGGCGCTTGGAAGCCATTTTGAATGGTTAGAGTACAGTATTTATAGCAAAATCACTTCAGCACACACGAATGATGTGGAAGCCTAACAGAGACTGGCTTGGCGTCGCTTGGGGACGCCGCGACGTTCCACAAGTTGGAGTTACTGTAGCGTGTCGAGAGAGGGTGATGCGCCATAAAAAGTAGTCTGTGACGACGCAAAAACGATGTTATATTGAGTCGTCGGGACGTTAAACGAATTTTTGCTATCTAAAGATTAGCGACGTAGTACCGAAACAACGTTAAGCGGGCCGACGTTATACGAAGATTTACTGTAATTTATTTTAATGTGCTGGTTTTCTGTACTGGATGGTTTACCCAAATTACATTTGTGAAACTCCTCAAAAATCATTACTCTACCCTAATCCTATCATTTTATAGTTTCCTTTCATCATGCAGCCAATCAAAGTTATTCCCCTTCCCCACCTTTGCAGTTCCTAATCACTCCGTGAAAAGCATAAGAGGGAAGTGACCAATTACTGGATGAAACCCACCTTACAATTCCACCTTCACTCCTGGGCTAGTCTCCCTTGCCTTCATGTCTCTCACTAGTCTTATCAGCTCAATAACAGTACAGTACCCCCAATATTCTTTGCCAAGAAAACATCTCTCCTTAATACATTTTTCTTATGGGAAAATTAGTTTTGCATGTTGCAATTTCATACCTCACAAGGATTTTCAGTAACAACCCTTGCAATAAACAAGGACTACTTGTACTTTGAATAGGAAGATTACTATTTTCACCTCTCCAAGTTTCAATACCTGCCCAAATACCATCCTCTCCCACAGCTTTCCTCAATTATAATTTACTTAATACTGTTTTTATATCTTTGCTACATAATTAATTATGTACAATATTTATACTGTAGTTGATTAATTTTGTATTTCTGGCTTTTCTCTCCCTCTCTCCATCCCCAATATGAAATCTTTTGTCTTTTTTTTATAAATTTGGAAAGTGGGTCCCATAGTCTTTATGACGTGTTAGGTATTTTCCTTTTAATTCCTAAGCCTTTTCTTCCCTGGAATTTTGCACATTCATCTTGAATTCTCAAGTAAGATCAATCCTGTCCTTACAGCATGGCTAAGTTGACATATGCATGCACAAGTACTGTACGTATGTAGGTACAGTACCATGGTAGTAATATTAAATGGAGTTATTGAAGCATGTGGTAAGGATGGGATTGATTATGTATAATTGATACACACCTATATGCATACTATCTTGAATTAGTGGTAGCTGTACGTATAGTAATATAGTACAGTCGTTGATTAATTAATCTAAACCATTTTTGTTTACAGAGAAGATGATGCTTACTACAGGTCTCTAATTGATGACAAAACAGACATTAGTAATCTTCTTAATCTGAAGGAATCGGAAGACACCTCAGATGATCTCATCTTGGCTCAGATGCTACAGTATGAATTTGATCGTGAATATGATCAACAGTTGAACAGAGAGGAAAAGCAATATAATGGTAATTCCAAAGGTAAGAATTTCTTTTACAATTTATGGTGATTGGTGTCAGCAGTTCATGTAGGGTGACCTATCAAAAATATGTCCTGATAGCAAAATTCAACTGGCAACGAATCCTTACTAATGACTTGCACTTAAAAATGTTGTGGTCAGCAATTGTGTTTCCCTTCTATATAAGGACCCACCATCAAGTTGATCTCTTCCCACATTATCCATCCCTTTGGGACCTAGAGTCTTGAATTCTAATTTGTAAATCTTGCACAGTACAATACTTATTGATTATGAACAAATTTTTATTATGAATAATGAATTCTTCTTTGTTTGGATAATAAATTTATGTAAAAGTGATAATAACCAAAATTTTCCTCACAGTGTCTGTTTCGTTCAACAAGTTTAAGATCTGTCCAACATGGTATGGCCCAGACAGTGATGATGAGCTCCCAGAATTAGATGATGAGAACAGGGCCATCGACTCCTTTGAGGTTAAAGAATTTGAATTACATTTTATGTTTGACAATAATGATTTATTCAGCCAGAAGTTAGTTTTGAAAGAAGAAGTAAATATTGTCTTGGTGCAAATTTAATGAAAGATGTGTAACACAGGCACGAGAACGTGAAGACCCAGTGATCCCTCCATGTGGTTACGTGAAACAAGGTGCAAAATTCGTCACTAAACATGATCTAAACATATCTGGTAGAAAAAATGCTCAGCGAATCATGAATCTGCCGCCTGGCATAAACACAGGAGATGGAGGAGGATTTGATATGCAGCTCTCTAATAAGGTGTGTCAACATGGATTATTTTTAACAGTTGTCATCATGTTGAAAAGGCAGCATCATAATTAATTATTTTATTGAATTATGTTAATGAATTTATGAAAATTATGGAGAGAGAATTTATTGATATTACAGTATTTATAAATGTTTTTATGATCTAAGTTTATGGGTTCTTATAGGGTACTTGTTTTTATAGGTGTACAATAAGCTTTGCCGCTCAGCCATGACGGACATGAAGAGAAAGCATCGGGTTCATGACAAGGTAGAGTATTGTTCATCACATAATTCTTAAAGGTTTTTATATAAATCACCCACTTAGGGACCAGGACACTTATTGAATACAAACTATGATTTTGTATTATCTTATCCAACCATCTATATTTAATGTGCTCTTTTTCCATTACTCAGCAAAGAGTATATCCTCCAACAATGTGTCCATGTACTGTACAGCTTCCAGATCTCCAGTGTGACAGTCTATAAACCAACTGCTTTACTCAGTTTAACCCACATACCAGGTAGTCCTTATTTCTGTCTTGTATCTACCTAAGTACTATTAGTTTGTGTACACACTTACCAGTAATTTCGGATCACCTAAGAATTTCCCACCCCTGTTAGTGCTGGGGGGAGATTCTTCAATTGGAGTGGGCTGGGATCGAGAATTTTCAGGGGAGGTCAGGAGTAATGGGTGTGGACTGTGACCTTAACCTGGGGTTAGGTTAGATGGAGCAGGCTGAAGTTAAGAATCTTGGGTAAATACTCTGGTGGGGGGTGATTCATTATTTCAAGGCCAGTCTTTTATAAAGTATAACATACTGTATATAAACATTTCTAAAAAGTCCTACTTAATTGCATTCATTGTATCCTAAAGGTGGAGAAGGCAACATCAGAAATGGCTCTTGATCCCAAAACCCGTCTTCTGATATTCAAGTTGGTCAACAATGCTGTTCTGGAATCGGTCAATGGCATTATTAGTTCAGGCAAGGAGGCAGTTGTCTTTTATGCACAAGGTGGAGAGTAAGTAACATTTAATTTGTACTTTTATGTGGTTTACTCTGAAGAAATTAATTTTGTCAATCATTGTTCCTTCATTGAGTGTTCTGTAGATGTAATTACAACATAGTCTACAGATTGGATGACCTCAAACCTACAGCTTGCATTCTCACAAACTTAAAATTAATGTTCTATATATTTTTTACCTCACAGGTTCTCTTTCACAATTTGTTAATTATCTTACCCTTTGAATGCACCAATGATTACTTTTATTTAGTAATTAAATTTATTATTTTACAAGATAATGCTTCTTTAGTATTTTAAACTATCATGAATAATTCATAACTTCTTTTATCAGTATGTCTTATAATGAAGATTGTATCCAATTTAATGTAAAAAAAGAAGAAAAAACAAAAAGAGGTATAATAAAAATAAAGAAAATGTAATTATCTCTCCCAGGCTTGAAGATCAATCACTCCCTGAAGATTGTGCTGTGAAGGTGTTCAAGACAACCTTGACAGATTTCAAGACTCGAGAGCGTTATATAAGAGAGGATTATCGATTCAGGGACAGGATGTCAAAGAATAATGCCCAGAAGGTTTGTTTCTTTTTATACATTATAACATACTCTTCCTTAACCACCAAGTTGACAAGTACTGTGTGTTTGAGTGAAATTTGAACAGAATCAAATTTTAAAGTTTTTCTCAAATGGCAAAACACTTCATACAATAAGTGCAAATCAATATTACAAAATTTAAACAAGCAATAGAAAGAGTGATGTAACTTATATTTAATACTCTTAATCACAAAGTTTTTGCCAATAGCAAAAATTAGGAATTCTACGTTGCACCCGAGGCGGAAACTATATTACATCATTAAGTTTCTTAGTTTAATGAAGCCACATCATTTAGATTAGTGGAAAATAATGCATTTTTTGTAATTAAAGAGGTGACTGGGTTATGGACATGATTGCATGTTTTTCAATTATTCGCCCTTTGGCCTGGGGGGGGGATTGGATGAGAAAGGATCGGAGTAGGAATCAAACTTAGCCATAGGGTCAGGCATATGACTTGCATATGAAGGTGAATCTGTTATAGTAGCTTTTCTGGGTCTAAAATCCTCTGTTTTATTGTGTTAGCTCTTTTTTTTTCAGTACAATTAGGGTTATGTACAGGATGTGATGGACCTACCCTTATCAGAATTAAGAGCATGAGAATGGGGTGATTGCAGTGTTGGACAATATCCACAATAAACGTATGCCATTTCAAGATATTGAGGCTGATGTACTGTTTTAATCAGCTCAACCTGGTCACAGGGTTCAGTTTATACTGTAAGAGAAATATATAATCTATATATATTTTTCTCAGACAACCTAGGGAGGAGGGTTACAGACACCCAATAACCCCCTTCTGGTTGTGGCCCTGAATTCTTCTTTAGTCACAAAACTGTATTAGATGTACAGTAATTGCTGTTTTTTTTTAGATTATTTGTTCATCAGTTCACACTTGGTACAATAAAATATCTCAAAATTCAGATTGGTCATTTTGATGAAGAATAGCATAAGGGTTTGGGGCTGGTCAATACAATAATTTAGTGATGGTGAACGTTGGTTAAGGTCATAGTTGCTGCCAAAGATCAAAGTCCTACTCTGAAATAAAAATTTATCTTGGCTTTAATGAACAACTTAATAATGTCTTTTATTTTTCTGTCAGTTAATTCGTTTATGGGCTGAGAAGGAATACCACAATCTTCGTCGGCTTCATCGTGCCAAAATCCCATCCCCTTACCCAATTCTCATAAAGAAACATGTCTTGTTGATGTCCTTCATTGGCAGCAATCATCAGGCTGCTCCAAAACTGAAAGAAGCATGTCTCTCCTTTTCTGACCTCTGTTTGGCTTATGAACAAGTGGTAGAGGTAAGTTACCAGTATACTACATTGTTAAATATTCTATTATATTGGAAACTGATACTAATAGTACCTGAATATATTCGATTTGGCTTTGGAAAATTGTGTTGATGAAATTTTGACCCTTTTCTTATTTTACAAAGATCTCCTTTCATCCTTAAATCTCATTTATATTTACAGTACTTTGTTTCCCTTACCCATTTTTGGGGTCCCAAGTCTTCTTTCCTCCACCTCGACTCTTCCTTGCCTGACCTCCTCTTTGTCAGTGAAGATATAAAAGTTGCACTGCTAAATATATAAATAATCGGTTCAGAGTAAATTAGTTGTAGTTGAGCCCGTGTGATGCTTGATTTATAAAGACAATTCTAGTTGAGAGATTGTTTGCCCCTTTTTATACTCTTTATGTACATGAACATTACACTGTATACTGTGTAGGCAGGTTGAGGAAGTTGTGAGGTATTTCTACTTCAAGGCTCGGGCATATCATGTCTCTTTGCACATTTATCCACTGTTCCATACCAATTCCATCTTGTCTCCACTGTATCCCTTGGTTTGTTCAACACAAAGAGTGGGATGGGAATTAAGATAATAGATAGGTACAGTATATCGATTAGATAAATAGATATAGATTAAATTTCATATATCCTCATTAAAATTGTCAACATTCTTGGAAAGGGTTGCTCATTTCAAATTTGCTTTCCTCATTTAGGCCATGGTGAAGATGTTCCGTGGATGCCACTTAGTTCATGCAGACCTGAGTGAATACAACATTTTGTGGTATGAAAATAAGTGTTGGATCATTGATGTGGGTCAGGCTGTTGAACCAACTCATCCACATGCTCTGCATTTCTTACACCGAGACTGCACCAATATCATCAAGTAAGCTGTGGTGTGATATAACAGTATCCATTATGTTCACAGATAGCCATAGATAGAGAGCTAGCCTTTAATTTAGGCCAAAATTTTGATCGAGGATAAAGGGTTTGGATAAAATTGCCAGTGAGACCTTAAATTTGAATGAATGAAGATTTACAGTACGTAGATGGCATACATGGAAAATTTAGGAATACAAAATGGCGCCAACAAAGAATTTTGTTTACACTGAGTAGAAAGTTTGATAAGGCAATTACATTACTGCTTGCGGATGACATTGGTCTAATGGGTGAGTGATTCTGAGGAAAAGTTTCAAGTGTTAGTGAATGAGTTTAGAAGAGCATATACAAGGAGAAAGTTAATACTGCAAGAGAATAAGAATATAGTGATGAGAAGAAGTAGTAAATGACTTGAACGGATATTTAAGGAAGGAAGTTGGAGTGTGTTAGTTACAGAATATCTGAGTGGATATGAGCAAATTGGGTGATAAGTGATGATTTGAAACACAGTCTTGGAGGGAAAGAAAATTTTAGGCAGATTGAGAAATGTATAGAGAAAATCTTACCAGAGGAGATAAGATGAGGATGTACAGGAGAATTGTGAGTAGTATGGATTGTTGATGCAAGAGGAAGAAGCAAATTAGAAATGCTGTGTTTGAGGACAACATGTGGGGTGAAGTGAAAGAAGTGTTGGTCAGATGGGATGGACACACTGAGAAGCGAAGGATTAGTAAAAATATTTTATAACTCAAGAGGTTGACGTTACAGAGGGAGGATAATAAGACAAAGATGGAGAAATACTCTAAAACTGAGGGTAATAAACATCCAGGAAGAAGCAGTGTACAGGGAGAATGACATTAAGGATGAATCATATGGATATATTGAATCCTTATTGTAGAAGGGAATCACCATAGCAAAATATAAAGTACAGCAGTAAGAGTGAATGAATGATTATGAATGAAGGGGGAATGAATGTTTACATTCTCTCTTGATTCTAGCCACATGCATTTGAGTGAAAAAGGTCTTGAATTAGTTAAAGAAAAAAAAAGAATACTGTACAGTAATTATCACTCCATAAATTTCAGGTTCTTCCATTCTAAAGGGCTTCCAGAATTGGCATCACCTCTCCAACTTTTTGAGAAAGTCAGTGGCATATCACTGCCTGGGCCTGAGGAGTCAGCTCTAAGAATGGTAAGTGAGAGGTCTCGGAGTACTTTATAAATAACATGAATTAAATAGTATGAATGAAACCAGTGATTTGAAGGAATGAATTTGTATGTCTGCTTTGTTATTTTCCATGTTTGTCAGTCCAGTATTGTTATGTGTGAATGATACACAAGGATGTGAATTTTTCTATGCAGATTCACATATTTCTGATCCCACCCACCCCCAGGAAAATAATTACATACTGTACAGTACTGCATTCCTCTATAGGATGAGGGGGGCACATAGAACAGTCATAAAACTGTTGTCATAGTCCACATGTCACAGCACTGAATGGCCAATTGGCTCCAGTGGTTGGCTTTGAGTCTGAATTCCACATGTCAACTTCGAGTGATGACTTTTGTTCTGTAAGCCCCTTTCTTAGAGCTAAGGTTGTGACAAATACAGTTGTACTTATTATTTTATGAATACCAGCCATCAGTGTTGAGGGCTAATATGGGCTGCATCCCATAGACATGACTCCTTGCTTTGACTCAGCGATAAAATGATATTTCCACAATTAAGCTCCATTTTTTTCCTAGAAAATAAAAATTAAAAATTTAAATCTTTAACTGTCCTTGATCTTGGCTTGGAGTGCCTATTGAATTACCTGAATTCCAAAATTTTCTTGGGAGATTAAAGCATCTCTCAAGATCCCCAGCATGTTTTCAAGTCATTGCCGTCAACATTCCTTGACACAAAATGTATTTTTGTAGATCTCTTGGGAGAGTGCTTAAAATTTTCACTGTAATTATGATCTTCGAGTCTTATACAGAAAACTGTGAGGGCTAACCTTTTCGGAGTGAGAGTTGCAAACTCGTGGAACAACCTGCCAGAGAGTGTTGTGATGGCATTGAGTGTGAGCTGTTTCAAGACAAGACCTAACCAACACTGGAGCAGGTTGAGGTACATTCAGGAGCCAGTGCATGCCGAGTACAGGTACTTGCCAACAGTGCGTATCAGAGACGTGACCGATTGCCCAAGCGGCTAACGAGCCGATCAGTAGCAAGGAGGATAAAAATAAGCGATATCTCCGTTAGCCAGAATAATAGTGGCAGAGCTCTTCCCTCTTCTGGGAATGAGTGATTTCCGGGTAACAAGATGACTCTCAAACCCGGAAAAATCCCACATCCCGGGAATTTTTCCGGGCACTGTACTGGGAAAATTTTCTTTTAATTTGCCAGAAATTGCACAATACTGTATTTTATCCTTTGAATTTGCTCCCAGACCTGGACAATAATATGGAATATTTTCCAGATTTTTCTCAGAAAATGCCTTGATTTTCAAGGGAACTCGTTCACAGACCCAGAATTGAGAGAACTTTTTGGAAAAATTCCGAGCCAATTTCAATTCCAGGTACAGTATTGGAGAGTTCCAACTAACGGGGATTCCGCTTAACGGAGATACAGTATTACTGTATTTCTTCTGTGAATACATGTAGTAGGCAGGTGTTTTTTCATAATTTATTAATCAAGAATGTATATAAATTTCCTGTCAGTCATTAAAGTTAAGAGTGTCTTTTCATATTTTTATACAGATTGAAGAATATGAAACTCACCAGGAACTGTGGCGTGAGGGTATGAACAACCTAAGTGATCAGTTTGAATTCCTCTGGCAAGAAATACAAGCTGAAGAAAGTCAACGTAAGAAACAAAATGAGAAAGAGGAAGATGAGGAGGACGATGAGGAGGAGTTGCTTGAAGATTTCGTAGTAGTGGTACGTTCCTGACTGTTGTTTTTTTATGTCTATAGTAAGATGGAGCATTTGCACCTGTCCATGTACATATTTATGAAGCATTAATGTTTCTTTAATTTGGTTTAGTTATGACAAATGTAAAGCAGTTCAGGTTTAGTGTCTTCAGTCATCTTGGAAGGAAAGGCAGAGGAGGCTTAAGAAATTCAAGCAGCCATTGTGTGTGTGCATGCATGTGTTTGGTGATCCATAAGGTGTGAATATACAGTATCTCAAACAAATAGTAATTGATTTTTACCGCATAAATATTTTCCATCTATTCGGTCCAGATTTATTGTCTCCTCAGTTTTGTTGGGAGATTTGTTACCTATATTGGCTGTCTCTTTCAATCATGATTGTTTTTTAACCAACAGGATGAACATGACACTTCAATTGAGCCTTTTGAAAATGACAGCAATAATCCAGAGGGTGCTGTGGGATATGTTGGAGAAAACTTACAAGGTGAAGAAGAGGATGATACTCCAGGCAAAGATGGTTGCAAAACAGAGGAAAATGAACCTGATGATACTAGCAAGTTTAATGTACTTAACCCCACTGAGCCCACTGAAACTCCCTCCTCTACTACACAGGTGTCTGGTCCATCAGTTACCAGACCCAATTCTAAGAGTGCTGAAAAACAAGGCAAGAAGAAGAAGAAGAAAAATATAAGTAAAAATAACAAGTAATGTCCAGTACTGTACTCTGTTATGAATATACGTGTGGGAATTGATACAACTTTTATTGAGGTCCAAAACATATTTATGTTTTCTTGAGAATTTTTAAGTATGGTTAGTATCAGTATTTTTAGGAATGAGATAGAAAGGTTTTACTATTGGTACCTTCATAAAAGTCATCTAGTAAGATTGTGGTGGATAAAGTGCTTTATCCATTTGGGTAATGATAATTTACAAATGAAGAGTAACAAATGTAAGATCTTGGGCTTATGGTAAAAGCATTAATGTGTACATTACAGTAAAAATCATTTTTTGAATAGTTTTGATGTTCATTACTTTTGTTTCATTATGTACCACTGTACTTTATTTTCTTCATTGTTTTATGAAGGCAGTTACTTCTGTGATCTATATCATATTCAGTTTCCCCAGTGCTGACAATAAACAAGTTGAATGAATACTAATTATAAAGTCTTTGTATAATTTTATGTTTGTACATGATCTTAGTCTTGACATTTATTTAAGCATATACGGTATTTGCAGACTACTGTATGTGTTTGATGTTACAAAATTTCTCGGGCAAAAAAAAAAGTTTAGATGTTTATGTTTTTCAGTATAATTACTGTGACGTTTGTTGATAATGTAGTTACTGCAAAGGTCATTGAATCATTTCAGATTATATCAATGAAGAAATTCAGATCAAAGCTTTATCTCGACACCTTCATTACCACAAACTGAAGCAATGGAACAGTACATTCATACTACACTTGTGTAGTAGTGTGTTAATGGTACTCTTTGGTGTGTAATATGGAAGGGTTTAATGCTTCAAGAACAATGTGAAATTTAATAATTAGGGTCAGTAATAATACAAGTGGGAAGGCCACCTGTGTATCAGTGTACTGTACTCAGGGGTAGTACCAGGAATATCAAAAGGGGGAGTCCAAGAAATTGTGGGTGAGAGGACATGGCGAGCACAGCAAGCCCAACCAGCTCCTCCAGTTGTACCCCCAAGAAAATTTTTGAAATGTGACCAATATCATGGGTATTTTGAGGCCATATAAACTTAATATTAGGAGATATTCCGAGGTCAATAGTAATTACTTTTTACCATACAAAAATGTCTTGAGTACAATACTGCATTAAAGAAAAAGTATTGGAATTTTTTGATGAAAAGGGGCTTCTGGACCCCTGGATCTGCCCCTGGTATTGTACTGTACTGTACGTGTAACCTGAAGGATTATGTGTTCAAAATTGAACCCCCCCCCCAAAAAAAATATTTGTTGACTAACTTGCAGATGCGGCATTTTTGTTTCTTTTTGGCAAAGAAAATGTTATTAAACAAGTAATCTGAATAAAGTTTGTATTGTGGATAGCAAATAAATAACTTCAGATGTAAGATATTTTATGGTAAACGGCATTTCATGCTAGTCCCCCAAACCTGAATAAAAAAGAAGAAACAGACTTCCTACTTTCTCTTGTTCATCCTCTTCCCCATTCTTACACACACTTTTATATGGACTTCAACACTTTCAAATTATCAGGCATGCGTATAAACACACAAACAGTGGTAACATGCAAATCTTTGGCCAATTGGTCAAGGGTTTTGAGCCCTGCTTGGCCCAGACACAGGTGAGAAGGGTGTTATCCAGTGTGACTCTCACTACCAAACATCACAGGTTTCTCAGGTTCTGGGTTCCTCCTGCACTAACACTGGATAGACGAACTACCCCAAAGGCTAGGATGCTGATAAGTGGTGAAGTTATTAAAAAACAAAAACAAAACCTGGACGCAAACAAAAGCACATTCACATGGACACATACACACACGCTCTCATATATAGTCTCTCTTTGGTCTTTATTCAGCAATGATAAGGTCAGTGAACTTTTATCATTAGCGTTATCACCATTGGTGAGTTTTATGGTGACTGAGATAGTGTGGGAGTGATGAAGTGTGTTGTGTGGGAGGGATGAAGTGTGTTGTGTGGGAGGGATGAAGTGTGTTGTGTGGGAGGGATGAAGTGTGTTGTGTGGGAAGGACGAAGTGTGTTGTGTGGGAGGGATGAAGTGTGTTGTGTGGGAAGGACGAAGTGTGTTGTGTGGGAGGGATGAAGTGTGTTGTGTGGGAGGGATGAAGTGTGTTGTGTGGGAGGGATGAAGTGTGTTGTGTGGGAAGGACGAAGTGTGTTGTGTGGGAGGGATGAAGTGTGTTGTGTGGGAAGGACGAAGTGTGTTGTGATGTGGGAAGGACGAAGTGTGTTGTGTGGGAAGGATGAAGTGTGTTGTGTGGGAAGGACGAAGTGTGTTGTGTGGGAGGGATGAAGTGTGTTGTGTGGGAGGGACGAAGTGTGTTGTGTGGGAAGGATGAAGTGTGTTGTGTGGGAAGGACGAAGTGTGTTGTGTGGGAGGGATGAAGTGTGTTGTGTGGGAGGGATGAAGTGTGTTGTGTGGGAGGGATGAAGTGTGTTGTGTGGGAGGGATGAAGTGTGTTGTGTGGAATGGATCTCCTCTACCTCCCTCCCTCCCTCTCACTACAGCTAGCACACACCCGGAGCCACGCCAGATAGGAGACGACAGGAAGAAGTAATTGAGTGGCGCTGCTGCTGCTGCTCTCAATGCGTCTGCCAGTCACTCCCTCCTCCACAGTAGTACGTGACAGTGAATAACTTAGAACAGTGTACAGTATAATAGTAAATGCTCTCACTCTCTCTCCCTTTGATGAACAGCGAATAACAAGACTTTGAACAGTGAACGGGAGTGAATGATGAAGGAAGAGCGCCAATGAACAAGAGAGTTACCATAATCGTCAGTGTATAATTAAATGACAACCTCCGAATCGTAAATAGTGAATAACAGTGCAAAGCGGTGGAAATGAACAGTGGGCGAAATCAAATAACAAACGAGAACGATTAAAATAAGAAAGACAATGAAGAGTCAGTGAATAAAAGGAATATATTTAAATGTAGAATTTAATTACAGAGAACATCAGTGAATAATAAACAGAAGATGAACGGCAGTGAAGAGCAATGGAAATGAATGTGTAGGCAAAGTAAACTAAGAACAGTTAACGGTGAACGGAGGTGAACAGGACGCCAATGTGGGCAACAGAACAAAACGACAGCCAACGGTAGACATAAGACAAACAACAGTAAACAGGGAACTGACAAGCTGAACGGTAGAAACAGGTCAGAAAGTGAATCTTAGTGCCGTTGCTTATCTTTACATACAAAATTAATAAAAAAAAAATATATAGTACGCTGTGGGCTAATGGCTTGTCTGTCTGTCTATCTGTGTTTATTTCACTTCCTCTCTCTCTGGTATATTTCTAATTGGCCCGATATGTATGTATGTATGTATGTATGTATGATTCGGCAGCAGAGTGGATATACACAGCGTCCTTCAGGTTTACTTAGTGTAGTGTATCTGTACGACACCTCAGCTTCCACGACAGACCTGTACACATAATTCATAAGGCAAGGTATCAGTTAGGCCTAATATAAGTATGAGGTGTGTTTAGGCCTTATATTTGATCGAGTGTTTGTGTAGTCTGATCCCCAAGGAATTATTATGTGTGTGTGTGTGTGTGTGTGTGTGTGTGTGTGTGTGTGTGCGCGTTTATCTGAGATTATAGACGATACTTTTTTCTCTCTACTGGTGAACTCTGTAATTCATTCTCAACAGGACATCATCAGCAATTTTCATCCAGATTTTACCCACTTTCTATCTAGCCGTTCTCTCATTTTCTCTAACTCAGATTTCACCCAATTTTCATCCAGATTTTCTTTCAGGCTCATCCAATCTTCTTTCATTTTTCATTCTTCAGATTTTTTTCTCTCTTCTTTCTAGAATGAGCTTAGAGTGACATAGTGTGGCCAGTAGCTGAGGAAAATGGTCGAGAAGGCGGACTTATTGCACCACATCCCACGGGTAAAGCTCGGGGTGGTGTTAGTGTTGACGCTAGCCTTCACGGTGGTACTACTGGGAGCTTCACACCTCACACACTCCCTCACACTCAGGATCGAGGCTTACCACGCCCTCTACAATCTCCTTTCACTCATCGGTTGTCTCCTGACCATGAAGGTGAGGTGGTGAGGGTGTGGTGGTTTCTAGGGGGTGATAGGGCGAGTAAAGGTAAAATGATTAGAGAGCTGTCGTGGTTATATATGGGAGATAATTCAAGGAGACTATAACTGATTAAAACATACATACATACATACATACATACATACTTTGGTATTCTTCACGTCTAGAATGTTACACCACAACCAACCTGACGGCACAGGAAGAAGGTGTTGCCTCTTAATTATGGACTACCTGTGACCCGTGACCCCATAACACAAGTGCCTCCCCTACCATAACCCAGGTCACCCCATAACACAAGTGCCTCCCTATAACCCAGGTCACCCCATAACACAAGCGCCTCTCCTACCATAACCCAGGTCACCCCATAACACAAGTGCCTCCCTATAACCCAGGTCACCCCATAATACAAGTGCCTCCCCTACCATAACCCAGGTCACCCCATAACACAAGTGCCTCCCCCACAGCTGTGCTCTGGACCTCAGTCACTGCACAACACGTTCGGGTGGGCGAGGCTGGAGGTGCTGTCGATGCTCACCACACAGATCTTCCTCACAGCTCTTTGCTTTAGCGTCGCCACCGAGACCATCCAGACAGCCGTACACGCCGGCCATCAGGTGATCTGTACACCTATGTCTACTGTACATTACATTTGTTGTTCAGTACATACGCCACTGATGACGGTGTACATGTCACAATTTAGATGTACAGTAAGGGGGCAGAATGTGGTGCACCAGAGAATTAACTAAACACATTCAACATAATACAGGAGTCAACTCGCTTCATGATCGTCCGGGCCGCACAGTGGTGGACCGTCTCTCTGTGTCATATATTGCAGGACATTCTGCAGTGAGGATACAGAGTGAAACTGTGGCTGTACAGTATGTTCGCTAGGGACACGCTAATCTCTGTCTAGTTGAGATAGGTTAAGTTAGTTCATAATTTGGGTTGTTTTGGAATTAAGTCGAGTCATGCTTTCTCCTTTATTGGATTATTTGGGTGCAGAGTGGAATCCGAGTCTAGACAGAACGTTCCAGTAATTGTTGTATATCTTGGTGGTGTAGGACGCGATGCACCACCCGCTGAGCGTTATGGCCCTGGGCGCCGTCGGCTGGTCCCTCAACGCTCTAGTCTTCTGTCTCATCGGCGGTCAGTACTAATTACTTCTTTGTTTTGTAGTGTTTGTTCGTGTGTGTGTGTGTGTGTGTGTGTGTGTGTGTGTGTGTGTGTGTGTGTGTGTGTGTGTGTGTGTGTGTGTGTGTGTGCGTGTGTGTGTGTGTGTCCGCATACTACAATGTTTGCACGTGTTGACTGAATATCCTAAATATGGGTTATGGGTGTCAACTACAGTACTAGCAGGACATGAGCACACTGGACGGGAAACATAAGAATAACTAGGAGACACATTGTTCCCTCCAGTTACTATATAATACCCGCATTCTTAAACTTTAGACGTTGAAGTCATCTCCGTAACTGGAGGTATGAGAATAACCATAACCACGACACTACGATGAGTCAAAAGTAGTTTAATTTGCACTAAGATTCAACCTAGTAAGTGTATGCGTAGTTATCCCCCAACACAACAGTGTACCTCTTGGACCTGATGCTCCACGGACTGCCAGCAGGTAGAGGGGACTTATCTCTATATTATCTCTGTCTCTCCCTCGCTGCTATCTCCACTTATACCTTAAATGCCTCGATGACATAATCCTCGTGTGCCCCGAGAGAGACAGTTATCGGTCAAAGTTAAGATAACACTGTCATCATCACTTAGATAGCTGTGGGATGACTCCACCAAGTTACTTTTCTTGTTGTTATGGGTCACATCCTACTGAGCCCCAACCTAATCTACCCTGATTAGCATGAATGGGAACCAGAAAACTGGGGCCCATTAAGACAAGGGTCCACTATATATTAGGATCGGACCCCAATCCTTGTGGTAAAGTTAGGTCCAGTAGGAATGGAGCCAATTTGAGTAGTGACCATTGACATCTCCTTCAGGTTACACGCACCACCAGGGTTGCTTCCTGGAAATGCGAGACTCTGGTAGTGTGTGGGTGGGAAGGCAGCTGACGCAGGAGGCAGTGCAGGCGGGCAGACGAATGCTGTCCTCCTCCAACCTGAAAGCAGGAAAGGCCAGGCCCCAAAGGACCCATCAAGTCATCAAGGAGGTTCTCAGGGATAACTGCGGTGTGTATATGGCGATCTTTTGTGTGTGTTTGTCAGGAAAAAGAAAACTACAATACTGCTTAAGCGCTTTCGTGTATTTAACATATCTTCAGAAGCGAATTAAACAAAGATATAAAGTGAGAGAGAGCTGCAGGTTGTCTCAGCTACTCCTAGAGGTGTTTTTGTTTGTGGGAATCCTTAACTCATGATCTTGTGGCTTACAGGGCTGGTGGTGGTAGTACTCTGTGCAGCTGTGGTACACTGGGACAACGGGGGGACCGTGGCGCTATATATAGATCCGGCCTTGGCGGTCACCTCAGTGGCGCTGCTCATGTGGTTTAGTTACCCCTACGGTAATACATTTTTCTCTAGTGCCACCAAGCCGCCTTCATTCCCTCTTTCAATGCACTAACGTTGGCATAGATAAAGATCTTGTTCTTTTAAATACTTCAGCAAGTAATAATTAACCATTTTCAAAGCATTTTATTATATTAGATTATTATTTCCAATTACGATAACTACTGCGCTCCGCCTACACAATTTATATATTCGTGTAACCAAATAAGTTAGAAATACACTAACGATTAATTCACCAATACATACAGTATATATCGCTTACACATCAATCCTCTCCAAGAAACAAGTTTACAGACACTTAAGTTCTATCACCTGTAGGGAAAGAGTGTTGTCACATCCTGCTGCAGACCATTCCGGGGCACATAGACGTGGAGAACTTCCAGGCCAGGATTCTGGAGGAGTTCCCGGCCATCGTCAATATCCACCACCTGCACATCTGGACCTTCACCCCCAGTAAGGTGAGTCAGGCAGGTGTCAGTTCAAACAACCTAAACGAGTACGGGTTTGTTATGCAGTGAACTATATTGATTCTCCTCAGTACGTCAATTATTAAAGTCTTTTACGCATCTCGTCTAGAAATTTTCCAAGGGTTGCATTCATTTGTACAGAATTATTATTTTTTTTCATTTACTTCGGTTAACAATGTTTCCAAATTTTTATTCAGTCACACTGGACATATATTAGCACGAGGCCATGGTAGTCTTAATCCTCGTGGTCGCGTTAGGCTGAGTGCTAGTAAGATTGGGAGAGGGTTATTAAGACTGGGGGAAAGCTTTTAAGACTGAGGGGAGAGCTATTAAGACTGGGGGAAAGCTTTTAAGACTGAGGGGAGAGCTATTAAGACTGGGGGAAAGCTTTTAAGACTGGGGAGAGCTATTAAGACTGGGGGAAAGCTTTTAAGACTGGGGAGAGATTTATTAAGACGGGTTATTAAGACCGAGGGAATAAGGGAGGGTTATTAATGGGGGGAGGAGAGCTATTGAAACTGGAGGGTTATTAATACTGGGAGGAGGAGGAAGAGGGAGGACAATTAATTAATTACTACACCAAACGTATATATAACACGTTGTGGTGTCCTCAGGTGGTGGCGACGGCACATGTGGTGTTCACGAGTCCGCGGGTCTACCTCTCTACCCAGGGGTCTCTCAAGCAATTCTTCCTAGATGAGGGTGTCACCAAGGTAAGGCCAGGTGCCAGGTCGTGTTTCAGGCTAAGTCCAGGTGCCAGGTCGTGTTTCAGGGTAAGTCCAGGTCGTGCTTGAGGGTAAGTCCAGGTCGTGCTTGAGGGTAAGTCCAGGTCGTGCTTGAGGGTAATGATCTTCTCAAATAGTAGTTTTTAACTTTGCATTATGACGCCTGGTTTAGAGCCACGCCCTGACGTTTCTATCCAGCGTTTTCATATGATATTTGTTTCTTTCCTGATGCCCTCCTAATTATTATTTATTATTATTATTATGTGTGTGCGTGTGTGTGTGTGTGTGTGTGTGTGTGTGTGTTACGCCACCGTACTGTACTAAAGAACCTGCCTGAAGTATCATCCTGAATTACTGTAACCCAATAAACTCCTTCAAGTATTTCCTTAAGTTCTCATGTGAAATTTTTGTATGAATTCTCCGATTAAACTTTCTGAAAGACTCCGCTCAAGTACAAATATAAAGTACTGCCTGAAGTATTGTAAAGTCTCCATCCCTATCATGGAACAACTCTGGAATGATCAGCAGTACAGTATCCCTCAGAAGACCTCACCCAGAGCATACATCTGAGGTACAGTATACATAACATACATCTGAGTATTTTTTTTACCCTACTTGACTACTTCATTGTTCTGTGACGAGGTGTTCAAAAGTCCTCACTTAACACTAACCTGACCCCAAGGTAACGTTACGGTGTTTAATCATCAGGTGGAATAAGGTGTAGGGGAGGGGGCGGGACGATAATTCTTCAGTTGTTCTATTTATTTATTAGTTTATGTCTGGCTATCAGAGGAGGACCGACCTACCGACCGACCGACCAATCACTGAGTCATTGTTATGTCTTGCAGGTTACGCTACAGCCGGAGTACATGACGAGGCAGCCGGGGCCCTCACCCCACGACGCCGTGTGTCTCCTGCGTTGCCAACACCAAGACTGCCACGAGAGGGAGTGTTGCCGCTCTTGTACCCACCACCCGCTCCTCACCTCAGTCACCTCACATAGTACGAGTCTCCTAGTGTGTGTGTTTGGGGGGGGGGAGGAGAAGGAGGCAGAAACAAAACACTAATAACCTTACAAACATCAACATAACAACATCACAACAACCAAGCAGCACCATCCTCACCACCATCCTCACCCTCACCACCATCCTCACCACCACCACCACCCTCACCACCATCCTCACCATTTTAAAACTGACGTCATCTGCACCAGAGAATATTTTCATACATTTAATAACTTTTATTTTGTTGTCCTTTTAATCATGTTGTTTGGATTTTGTTTATTACCTTTATTAAGTGTTAATTTTTTGTTTATTTCAGGTGAAGGTGTGTTGTGTGAGTCAGGTGAAGGTGTGTTGTGTGAGTCAGGTGAAGGTGTGCTGTGTGAGTCAGGTGAAGGTGTGTTGTGTGAGTCAGGTGAAGGTGTGTTGTGTGTGCCAGGTGAAGGTGTGTTGTGTGAGTCAGGTGAAGGTGTGTTGTGTGTGCCAGGTGAAGGTGTGTTGTGTGAGTCAGGTGAAGGTGTGTTGTGTGAGTCAGGTGAAGGTGTGTTGTGTGAGTCAGGTGAAGGTGTGTTGTGTGAGTCAGGTGTCAGCACAGGTCACCACGACAAGGAGAGGCTCAGCACAGGTCACCACGACAAGGAGAGGCTCAGCATCACCCAGCACACAGAGAGAGGACATCTATTAACAGAGAACACCGTCTAGAGAGGCTACGTTAGGTTAGGTTAGGTTACTTGACGCGTCGGCCGAGTAGTATGACCTAAAGACACAATTAACTCTGACAGTAGTGTGAGCAAACGACACAACAACAACAAACTCACACGGCAAAGTTTAGTGTAACAGGAGCTCACAATATAGGAAGATTTAGTGTCATAAGCTCACACTACTGCCAGAGTTTGTTGTGTCATAAGCTCACACTACTGCCAGAGTTTGTTGTGTCATAAGCTCACACTACTCGGCCGACCCATCAAGTATAGATTAACATCATTCAAATTATTGTTACGATAATACAGAGACAGACGAACAGACACTCACAGACAGACAGTTTAAGTGGACGTTATTCTAATAAAAGTTACTTGAGTGGCGGGAACTAAGAGTGACTACAGCGACTAATACGAATTACCATAGTGTATCACCTGTACTGTAAAGTGAATATATTGTACACAGATAATGTTCTTTTTCCTGTCATCTTTATTACCGAGAGAGAAAGAGAGAGATCGTATTGACCTCTCCCGTGACACCCGACAAGTGGCGCCAGCTTTCATGAGCGTCACGTCCGTCCGTTAAGCGCAACAAACCCGTGTCTTCAGTATGTTCGATGTAGATTTTATCTCTTCTTGCTTCTTTTGAGTTATTCTGTAATTCAATTCTCCATATATAATGTACAGCCTATGGTTGGACTGTCGTTAAATCATCATAATGCAAACTGTAAATGAATAATATCATTACTAACCTATTTAACCTGCAATAATCTAAGCTCACCTGGTCTGATGTAGAGGGTATAATTTTATGAGTCAACCAAGTTTAATTATAGAGCAAATTTATTCATACATCAACTGATTTATATTAAATTATAGCATTAAAAAGATTAATCTCATGATTAGCCATATATATATATATATATATATATATATATATATATATATATATATATATATATATATATATATATATATATATATATATATATATATATATATATATATATATATATATATTGTTATTGCAGTAGGCTACCACCTGTACAGTAGCTAATTATATAGGTTTAGGAAACTCGTAATCACAGGGAAGAGATTGAATATATACAGTACTGTACATTATAAGCGTTAACATATAATTTGTCACTGGAAATACAAGCAGTATATATTGACTGTGAATGAAGCACTTGAACTATTAATCCATCAGAAATTCTCGCCACCTGGAGTAAAGTCACGCCTGGGTGAAAAACCTGCAGAGGTGCCCGGCGGGACCCAGCGGGACTCCGTCTACCAAATCAGTTTTGCTTGTGAATTCTGAAGGTTTATATAGATTATTTTGAAAAGAAAAGTGTTTTGTTTCATGTCATATAATATTTTTTTGACAAACTATAAGATTAGCTTATGTCTAAATCAGGAAGGTCTAATGACAAGACTTCATTTAATTTATCGCCTTTTACATGCATTATTAACCCTTTATTATTCTAATTTAAAATATTTCAAGTCTCTTCATAAAGTGTGAACTGATATTTACAGAAGATCCATCACTTGTAGTTGTTATTTTGTCGTAGGTGAGGAGAGTGAGACACCCAACCAATATTACTGGTACACCACGAGGTTAATGTTGGATGATAGGCCACTAACTCACCACAACGATCACTAATAACAACACTTTATTCTATTATTGTTAAGAGTAAATAAAAGCTTGGTTAGGTTAATACATCCGGGACGCTTACATGCAGTCCGTTTTCAGCATCAGTTTTAGTTTAAGTTGACCATTAAATAATATAACAGACAGGGAACACCACACAATATGCCTGTGGAGGTATTTTACTTATCTCGGAAGAAACACTTACATATGAACACATTTACACAAGTAGTTTCAACAGGATCGTCACGTTGGCATGAAGTTAATAATCTCACTTCCAAAACTTTTCCACTTGTGTCCCTAATGACAGACAACATGAACAGTAATTAAATTCAGACCGTATGCTAATCTCTGCAACAACTAGGAAGAGAAACTATTTATTTAGCCAGAATAACATAGATACGAATTGAACAACAGCATTGACATGGGTTAAGCGTTTTCCATTGTCGCAGCTTTCCTATACCTGATAAATATTCTGAATATTTATCTTAACAAATATCAATAGACGGTATATATCACCATCTGGATCCCTATTATGGCCACCAAACTTGTCTTTACTCTATTTTACTCTCTCTCGCCTCGCTGGTTAACTCCACAGTGTTCAATTATTGTAAATGGAGATTGGGACCTAACCTAAGTTGACCTGACCTAACCTAACCACCAGAAGGCAAAGATTTATGAGATTAATGGTGGTTGTTGTGGTGGTAGTGTGTGTGGCGAGAGGATGTGTTGTGGTGGTGAGGGGGGAGGTGACTACGCCTCGGTGTGTTCATCAGAAACACATGTCCTACCTTCCATATTTACAGCTAAGATAACTTTGCGTCAACCTGGTGAGGCCGCCGGAAGTCTAGACGGACGTAGACTGATCACTTTTCAGAGGCCTTCGTCGGGTCTCGAATAATCATCGTCTAAGGGGAAATATTCATGTAATTAAGGAATGAAAATATTGACTGACTGACTGACTGAAATAAATAAATATTCATATTGTTTACAAAGAAGTGTTACATCCTTTTAGAAAATTTAGTTGGTGACTTTGTTTTGGTCTGGGATGAGAGAGGCAGTAGGAGGGTGAGGCGGTGCTGGTACTTGTAACTCAGCGTGACGGAACAGTGGATGGGCCAAGGCGGTGCCCCACTATTACCTTCACCACTATGCCAGACCCCACCAGTACCTCCGCCCCACCAGCCGCCCACCTTCATGTTGGTCTCCAGTGTTCCATGTTCCCCTAAAAGATAATGTTTCTTTACTGTTTAGTTGTAGCTCACGGCAGCATAACCTGTGATAATCACATAATTTATACCCTCAAGTATTACTTTACAGTGTAGGTCTACTTGTATTACTTTACAGTGTACTGTAGGTCTACTTGTATTACTTTACAGCGTAGGTCTACTTGTATTTTCTCAGATTCATATACAATAAGAAGTGAATTCTGCAGAAGAATATATCATATGAAAATGTATTACATTTTTGTAATAATTAAAGGTAAGTGTGGTGTCAGTGTGAGGAGGACTGAGGAGAGGGCCACGTGGCACCTCTCCGTCTCCTCCCCGTCACAACTTGTCACCAGGTGAAGGCTGACTGGCGGGGACCACCATGGTGGTGACCCAGCTTGGTAGCCAGGACGTATCAGGTCATGGGGTCAGCACCAGTAATGCCTCAGACGGTAGCTAGGTCCTGTCAGGTCACGAGGTTAGTGCCTCTGAGGGTGCCGCCGCCAGCCCACCCAGCACCACAGCTACCAGTAATTACCAGCAGGAGCCGCTAGGGTGACGCCCCGGGCCACACTACCCACAGGCACCGAGGCTACTGTGTCGCCGCCACCATAATTATGTGAGACCGGGTGTGGACACTGAGGCTGGATGGGGCCACACTCCTGCCGGGGGTCACCAGCGCCTACTTCTGCAACGTGGAGTGATCCGCACATTCACACCTAACAGCGATGCACACTCACTCACACACTCAAACAGTGATCCACACACACTCGAACAGTGATCCATACACCAACACAATCAAACTGATCCATTCTCACACACTCACAAATCTAACTGTCGACATTTATAAACAAACTTCAACACTTTATCCACGCCAAGAAATTACCCCCCCCCCAAACACACTCACAGGCGTTAAATATCCTCACTTCAACACCCACAAAACCTTCAAAACAACACACACACACACACACACGCACACATCCATCAAGTATAGCTGTCAGCGCCCGTATCTCATTCACATGTATACCCCCTCCGCCCTCAGACCACACACTCACTCTACACTTCCCTTCTCCACATTCCTCATACTTCTCCCCTCACTTGGCCACACCCCACAACGGAACCCGCCCCTTTCCGTAACCCAACCCGGATCTGCTAATTACTATGTTTGTTTTTCCTCTAGTCCACCACCACCAGGAGCTGAGGCAGGTCGACCCGCCCTTGACTGAGGTCGCGTCAGGTTACTCTCGGCGGCACTAGAGGGAGGTTCATCCTATTATATGTTACCTGACACACTGAGGAGGGTAGGGAGGGAGGAGAGGGGTAAGGAAGCGAGAAGGGGGGAAGAGGAGGAGGAGGAGTTGAGAAGTAGGAAAGGGCTAGGTAGGAGGAGGAGGAGGAGGAGGAGGAGGAGGAGGAGGAGGAGGAGGAGGAGAAGGAGTTGGAAGTAGGAAAGGGCTAGGTAGGAGGAGGAGGAGGAGGAGAAGGAGAGGGAAATGAATGATGATAGGAGAGAAGGGTATAAGAAAGGAAAAGGAAAGAGGAAGGAACGGAGACGAAGAGAAAGGCATGAAAAATTTGAAGAAATGAATAAGAGAAGGGAAGGGAAGGAATAGGGTAAGGGAAGAGGAGGAAGGAGGGTAAAGGAGAGGGCAGGAAGAGAGCAATGTTTCAAAATACTCGATTGAACTGACTGACGAATGGCACCTAACACCCCCTCCTCTCCTCAGCCCTGTAGCGAAGACACATAACAGGGTTGAAAAGTAAGTGTCAAGAACGAAAGAAAACAGAGAAGTGTGTCACATCTAACCAACTGTATACAACTGAAAATCCGTTATATTGAGGGTTCGTTAGATGTGAAACCCTCCATTTAACGGATTATATGGAGAGAGAAGTACGTTATATGGAGGCTTTACTGTATAAATCCCGGACAATAGCCTTCAAAAATTCTCCAGACAGTGCAGTGAAACCTCTATATAACGGACGTATCTCTACATGTAATCCGTTAAATGGGGGGTCATATCTAACGAACCCTCGATATAACGGACTTACTTCTCCATATAGTTCGTTAAATAGAGGTTTTACAGCTAACATACCTTTTATTTAACGGACTTTCTTCTCCAGGCAGTCCGTTCAATAGAGGTTTCACTGTAAGTAGGTTAGCTAATTATACTGTACAAACCTTAGAGTATACTTTGCTGTGTGTGTGTGTGTGTGTGACAGAAGGGATGATAACAAACCACTATTATTATACAGAAGCCAACAATTACTGGTACAATATATAGCTGTACTCACACACACACACCTTTAGCCCTTCACTGGTACCATATATATATATATATATATATATATATATATATATATATATATATATATATATATATATATATATATATATATATATATATATATATATATATATATATATATATATATATATATATATATATATATGATTAGCCAGTCCTCATGAATTTCCAAACCCACGGTAGTTAAGATAATCACCCCCTTTACCCCATATCTCGCGACAAACACACCAGTGAGCTAAAACCTAAACACACGGTATAAGGGAAGATCACAGTACCTCAAGGTAAAGGAACATATACATAACTAAATGGTT